TACCCCCGGGAGTCATGATTTAAAGGAACTTGAGTCTACACAATCAGAGGATGATTCCGTATGAGTTTCATCTCTCCTTGTCCAGTGGTTCTTGAGAAGAAGATTTAATTTTAAAGATTTTTCCTATATAGACCTATATAAAACTTTGATCAGCCATTTTGGCCCCACCCTACCCCCGGGGGTCATGATTTGAGCGAACCTGAATCTACACTATCTGAGGATGATTTCATATGAGTTTCATCTTTCCTTGTCCAGTGGTTCTTGAGAAGAAGATTTTTAAACATTTTTCCTATATAGTCCTATGTATAACTTTCATCAGCCATTTTGGCCCCACCTTACCGCCAGGGGTCATGATTTGAACAAACTTGAATTCATACTATCTGAGGATAATTTCCTGGCCATGTGGTTCTTGAGAGGAAGATTTTTAAAGATTTTTCCCGTATACTTCTATGTAAAACTTTGATCGGCCATTTTGGCCCCATCCTACCCCAGGGGGTAATTATATGAACAAATTTGAATCTACACTACCTGAGGATAATTCCACATGAGTTTCATCTTTCCTGGTCCAGTCGTTCTTGAGAAGATTTTTTTTAAAAATGGCATTAATTTTTCTCAAATTCATAATTATATCCCCTTGGAAAAGGACGTGGCCCTTCATTTGTACAACCTTGAATCAACTTTACCCAAGGATTCTTTGTAGCAAGTTTGGTTTAAATTGGCTCAGTGGTTCTTGAGAAGAAGATGAAAATGTGAAAAGTTTACGACGACAACAACGACTACGACAACGACGACAGACAACGGACAAATTTTGATCAGAAAAGCTCACTTGAGCCTTTGGCTCAGGTGAGCTAAAAATCAGTCAGCATTTTTTACCGCGCTTATTACGTAAAATAAAGTTTTTATCAAATTTATATGAAATGATGTATAGCAATATCATGTTTACTGCCAATTTTATTTATAAAACAAGTTCTACCCTATAGTCTTTGAATAGATCAACCTAAACCACGTGTCTTGAATTTAAATCACAACAACATTAGTAGGGGTGTGATTTATATCTTAAAAAATTCAGTTTTGCTCAATGTATTTAATTGTATAATAAAACATTTTAAAATCATAGAGAACTGCCATATTTTTATTTTTTTCGTATCATGCATATTTTTACAAAGAACGATAACTCTTCACACTTGGGTAATAACATTTAAAAAGAGAAAATTTCTATTTCAAGAATGATTTCAGCTATTAAAAATAAATAGAAAAACTAACAAAAAATATATAAAAAAGCATTTTGGTGTAATAATCATGATAAAAAAAATTCTTGTTTTTCATCATAGTGTTAAATTATTGATTTTTGTCAGAGTGTTTTCATAACGTGGATCGATGACGTCACAAAGGTAATCAAAACAAAAATGTAATGACGGCACTGCTTGTATCCAGTTAACTGTGTTTCAGAGGGAAATATTTTATAAATTGTTTGTGATTTATTAGAGAATAGGAGCATTAATCAGGTTTACTGATTTTAAATCCGTATGTTTTTCTTTACTGAAGACAAGAAGCTGCGTCCTTATGTAAGTCAGGATTTCCTCTGATATTTTTGAAAAAAAAAATCAAAGAACGCAAATATAAGTAATAAACAACGATTATTCAGTGAACATGGCATTATGAATAACAAAAGCTCTGCTGGCATATTTTCCATGATGCGCTAGCGCGCATCATGGAATATGCCAGCAGAGCTGTTGTTATTCATAATGCCATGTTCACTGAATAACGTTGTTTAATCTTAAATAATACACCAATATTATAGGGTTATTGAACTTATATTGGTGAATATTGGCACGAGTTGGCTGTTCAAATGCAAGAGCTTGCGAGTGCATTTGAACAGCCAACGAGTTGAATAAGTTGAAAGTTGAATAACTCCTTTATTATATTATAGCTAAAACATTTTCACATAATTTATAATAATAAACCCTCAAATTAATGATTTTTAGTAATGGTATTCAAATTAACGTTTGTCCTGTTAGTGTTAGTGTTCAATATCGCATCATTCCGATGACCCAAACGAGCGATATGATTTCCTTATTTAGGCTAAAATGGATCTAATAAGTACTATATTTTAATAAATAATTTCATTTTTGCGTGAAAAATAAACACATCTTACCTAGATGCCACTTCCTTTCTTTAATTTAGCTCTGAGAATTTGACCAGACGACTTTTTTTGTTTACAACGGGGCGTTCGATATTGAACGCTCATATTCGGAATGTTTGGGCATATGTACTCATATTCGTAATACAAAATTAGCGTTCAATAAAACGTCAAGATATTGAACGTTGAAATTCTCTAGATTTTTGGTGGTATTTTATTAGAAACTATTTATTAGCTATATAATAAATGTATATTATAATATTTCATAATGTAGTTATTATACCACCCGCTTGAAAAACGGAAGAGTATATAGTTTGGTGTCATTTGTTTTGATTTATCTGTTTTTTTTACGAGTATCTTAGGTACGAGTTAATGTGAAGGGGTTTTTGTGGAACTCTTTTGTTTTTCATGCACGCTTTTCGTTTTGGCGCCGACCTGTACGTTTATATCTTCTCTTCCTTTGGTTCCCCACGGTGTAAGTATCAAATATATCTTTTTATATAACTATGTTGTATATGATACTGTTGTATATGCAGTTCAATTCAATCCATTATTACCAAATATTTACATGTCATTTACTTGGTGATGAGTCGTTCGGAATTTATGCATACTACATGTGACTTGTCAATGTGTGAACTTGATCCTGATTAACTCATTATGACAATTAATTGTACTATCGTTAAAGTAATTACACTTGAATGTTATCTAAATTAACATATTAGATTTACTCGATTACAAATTCTATGGTTTAACGCAAGTGTCATAATTATCTTTAATTCCGAGGAGTGTGTTCCTTTATGTTTTGTCATAAACTTTGTGAGATGAAATCTGTTAAATATTCTGGATATAATTTCCATTATTCTTTGAGATAGTATGTTTTTGTGATTTGATATTTCTTTGATTGTGAATTTATGATTGTTTGTTTTTTGTAGTGTTTTACCGCATTTCATCATCTGAAATAAAGGGGTTATCTATCTGCAAAGAATCCATCGTCTTTTTCTATGGCAGAATAGTAAAACAACCCAAATGGAGCCATCCAACGAAGCAGTCAAGGTCAAGAAGGAACCTAGTTCACACAGTTCGCATCACAATTCGCATCATAGTTCACATCGCAGTAGATCATCGTCTTCAAGTACTTCAAAACGCGCCAAGGTTGAAGCAGCACGGGCTCTGCTCAAGTTAGCAGAAGAGGAGGCAGCCCTTCGAAAGAAGTTATCCCAGCTTGAAGAACAAGATGAAATAGACCAGGCGACTATAAAAGCCTCCGCGGCAAGAAGAAGAGCAGATTATCAAGCTGATATGGACCTACTCGCCGCCAAGAAAACAGCAGCAGCACTTGACGCAGAAGCTAAAGTCTTGGAGCAAGACTCATCCCTCACCGATCGCGACTTAAGTGAATATGATATTGCAAGCGTAAAGGAGGATCCACAAACACGGACCACTGAATACGTTTCGAATTTGTGCCGGCACTTACAAACAAATGGAGACAAGTCTTACACTGATACAGATATACCACCGAATGCGAACCTACCTCATCGGACAGAGTCACCAGCCTCATCGTATGTAGGGTTACCACGCACTGTGCACACATTCCAAAGTCCTAACCATGTGCAGAATGCACAACTAGTGCCTGACATTTCTAAATTTCTGTTGAGGAAAGAACTTTTGATATCAAGACTTTATCGGTTTAGTGATAAACCAGAATCTTATTTTGTCTGGAAGTCGAGTTTTCAGAATATTCTAGCAGACTTACAAGTTACAGAATTTGAACAACTGGATCTTCTTGTCAAGTGGCTCGGACCTGAATCAAGCTCCTATGCATTAAGCATCAGAGCCGCTAATGCTGACAACCCAGCGAGGGCCTTGCGCCTTCTGTGGGAGAGACTAGATGAAAGGTACGGTTCCCCCGAAAGAATCGAGAGTGTTCTAAAAGACAAACTTTCCAAGTTTTCGAAGATCAGCCTTAAAGACAGCCTCAAACTTTATGAGCTATCGGACCTTCTTACAGAAATTTCGAGTCTAAAGGAGCAACCGATGTATCAACCACTACTGGCTTACTTCGATTCTTCTGTTGGAGTCAACCCCATTATCGAGAAACTTCCCCACCACATGAAGGAAAAGTGGATCACGAGAGCATCTAAGTACAAGGAAACAAACGGACAGTGCTTCCCACCATTCAAGTTTTTTGTTAGTTTCGTGAAGGAGATGAGTACTATGAAAAACGACCCGAGTTTCTTATTCGGCGAAAGTGTACATCAAGTAACAAAGCCTACTCGTCCACCGGCCTTCCTCCCAAAGCCTCGGTTTCCTGTTACAACAACAAAAACTGACATTTTACCTGATTTGAGGGAGAAGATTACAATGTGTCAAATCCATGGAACGAATCATCGACTTAGTGAATGCCGTGCATTCCAAAACAAATCCTTAGAGGCTAGAAAGAACTTCCTGAAAGAAAAAGGATTATGTTTTAAGTGTTGTGACTTTGCGCACAAAAGCAGACATTGTAAAGAAAAACTAAAATGCACCATTTGTGACAGTGACAAACACGCCACGGTTATGCATGGTGACATTCCCCCTAAGGCTCATGGCGGGGAGAGCACAGTACGGTCAGGAACAAGCACTAACACACATAGAACTTCACTTGAAACGCTGACAGTAGAGTCCTCATGCACCGAGATCTGTGGGAAAATCACACTTGGAAAGTCGTGCCAAAATCTTACCTGTGTTTGTACATCCCAGAGAACATCCAGAAAACCGCATTAAAATATATGCCATACTCGATGATCAGAGTAACCGATCACTTGCCAGGAGCTCATTTTTTGACTTCTATGAAATCCATTCACAACCGGAGGAGTACATAATGAACTCTTGCAATGGAAGGACCTTGACATCCGGAAGACGTGCATCCGGATTTGTACTAGAATCATGTGATCATCAAGTGCACATAGACTTACCTGGTCTCGTTGAATGTGACAACATTCCTGACAATAGACACGAGATTCCGTCACCGGAAGTCACTAGGTATCATCGTCACCTGTGTGACATTGACCTTTACAGTTTGGACCATAATTGTCAAATCCTGTTGCTTCTTGGTAGAGACGTACCTTATGTGCACCACATTCTTGACCAGAGGACTGGTCACCCTGATGCTCCTATTGGACTTAGATCTCCACTAGGATGGACTATCGTCGGTGATGTGTGTGTAGGATCTCAACATGGCCCAGTCAATGTGTACAAAACATACGTGTTGTCCAGTGGACGACCTTCCCTTCTACATCCTTGCGAGAACAAGGTAAACATCAAGGAGCTGCCTACGCCAAGTGTACCCTGTAGACAATCTTTAGACTACTCAGGTCACAATGTTTTCGCACTAACACCTCATGACAATAAGCAAGGATTATCCACGGAGGATAGGGCCTTTCTACAGGAGATGGAAAAAGAGTTCAAGAAAAATAGTGAAGGGAATTGGGAAGCCCCACTTCCATTTAAGGAGCAACGGCCATTGTTACCAAACAATCGGGTCATGGCCTTGGAGAGGGCCAGGAGATTTGACACTAGTTTGAGAAGAGATCTCGTCAAACAGAAACATTTTTTCGAGTTTATGCAGAAACTATTTGATAGCAAGCATGTTGAGATTGCACCACCAGTCAAACAGAATGAAGAAGTGTGGTATTTACCCGTTTTTGGCGTATACAATCCCCACAAGCCTGACCAGATCCGTGGAGTGTTCGACTCCTCGGCTACATTTCATGGACTTTCCTTGAACAATGTCTTGATGTCTGGTCCGGACCTTAACAACAGTTTGCTTGGAGTGCTCATCAGATTCCGCAAGGAACCAATAGCCATAACAGCCGACATCCAACAAATGTTCCACTGTTTTTATGTAAGACCAGATCACAGGAACTATCTTAGATTTTTCTGGCACCATGAAAATGACGTTAACCAAGAGCTTAAGGAGTATAGAATGAGAGTCCATGTATTTGGAAACAAACCCTCACCCTCGGTAGCTACATATGGTTTACACAGAACAGCTTTAGATGCTAGAGACTCATTTGGACCTGATGTCACCGACTTTGTTCTAAACCACTTCTACGTAGATGACGGATTAATCTCCCTACCTTCTGTCGACCAGGCTGTCGATTTTTAAAAAAATGAAACGAACACAGCTTGCCCTAGCTACTCACGGTAATTTAAGTTTGCATAAGATTGCCTCAAACAGCAAAGATGTTGTCCGAGAATTCTGTCCAGATGACCTTTCCAAGGAACTAAAGAGCTTGGAACTCACTGATGATAACTTACCACTACAAAGGAGCTTAGGACTGTACTGGAACATGAACTCTGACATGTTTACCTTCAAGATTTCTTGTGAGGAGAAACCCTTAACTCGACGCGGGGTACTCTCTGTCATTAACAGTATTTATGATCCCTTAGGATTTGCATCACCTGTGATAATCAAAGGGAAACTACTGCTACGTCAACTATCTAGTGGAGGCACTGAATGTGATGTGCCACTCGGCGACCTTGAAGGACAGAAATGGCAGTTGTGGAAGGAGTCTTTGTCTGGACTTCAAGATGTATCTATTCCTCGTCAGTATGTTCCGTGTTCTCTGCAAGGAAATGTACGAAACGAACTCCATATATTCTGTGACGCGTCTGAGAAAGCAATTGCAGCAGTTGCATATTTGCGAGTGATTTGTGAGGGAGAAAGACACTATGTGGGTTTCGTTATAGGAAAGACCAAAGTTGCGCCTACTCATGGACATACGATACCAAGACTAGAGTTGTGTTCTGCTCTTCTTGCAGTAGAGATCTATCAACTAGCCAAAGAAAACCTGGACATTGAGTTACAGAGTGTGAAATTTTATTCAGATAGTAGAGTAGTTTTAGGATATATCACTAATCAGACGAGAAGGTTTCTTACTTATGTCTCCAACCGAATTGAACAAATTCTGAGACACTCAACTCCAGAACAATGGAATTACATTCGTACGGAACTCAACCCTGCTGACATTGGAACACGGGGCTTAACGGCCGACAAGCTTCAGAGCAGTGTTTGGATTAGAGGACCTACTGAATTCCTTGAGAGACAGTCTATTGAGTCAGATAATGCTTCTAACCCGAATACTTACCAGCCTGAGGTAAATGCCTACTTGTCTGATGTCACATCAATGCATAATTCTGAGTCGGAGTCGAGAAGTATTGCATGTAGATTTCAGCAATTTTCTGAGTGGTCTAGACTTGTACATGCATTTGGAAGGCTGAAGACAAGAGCACGACAACAGAAAATGAAGAGAACTGAGGATTCATTGGTCACATTCAAGGAATCAGAAAACTTCATCATAAGTCTCGTGCAGCATGACGTTTATGGAGAGGAGATACACTGTATCAGAACAAACAAACCCCTACCGAAGGGCAGTCCACTTCAAGCATTAGGACCAATTTTAGATGAAGAAGGCATACTATGTGTAGGAGGGAGACTCAACAAACTGAGGTTAGATGAATATGAAAAGAATCCAGCCATAATTCCAGGGTCTCATCACATTGCTACGTTACTAGTGCGCCATCACCATCAACTACTCAAGCACCAAGGACGTCACCTTACAGAGGGAGCAGTCAGATCTGCCGGACTCTGGATCACAGGAGGAAAAAGGCTTGTGTCTTCCGTTATTCACCACTGCATCAGCTGCAAGAAACTGAGAGGAAAACACGGAATACAAAAGATGGCCGACCTTCCAGCTGACAGGTTGGATCAAGTACCTCCATTCACAAATGTAGGAGTCGACATTTTCGGTCCTTGGCAGATCATAACCAGAAAGACGCGAGGAGGAAGCGCATCATCAAAGCGATGGGGAGTCTTATTTACATGCTTGGTGACAAGAGCAGTTCACATTGAGATAGTGGATTCCCTAAGTTCATCTGCATTCATCAATGCTTTGCGTAGAGTTACCAGTATTAGGGGCAAAGTGAAGATATTCCGGTCAGATAGGGGCACCAATTTTATTAGAGCAACGGATGACTTTAGAATAGACACCATTAATGTGGAAGATGATACTTTAAAGACGTTTCTCTATGATTCAGAAACAAAGTGGATTTTAAACCCCCCACACTCTTCACACTTCGGAGGAGCTTGGGAAAGAATGATCGGCCTTGTGCGCAACATTCTAACGCCATGCTTATGGAACCAAGCAACCAAAATATAACACATGACATTCTGTGCACTTTGATGGCCGAAGTAACAGCGATTATAAATTCCCGACCCTTGACACCTGTGTCTTCAGACCCCAACTCTCCATTTGTTTTGACACCAAACATTTTGTTGACACAGAAACATTCTTCTGATTCTGGTTCCCTGGAGTTCGGCGATATCGGCATAAAGGACATGTTAAAATCTGAGTGGAAACGAGTGCAGGGCCTTGCAAACCAGTTCTGGAAGCGATGGAAGTCAGACTATCTTCACCTCCTTCAGCCACGCAGAAAGTGGAAGAACGAAGAGCCAAATATCAAGGAAGGTGATATTGTGCTACTTAGAGAAGACAGTCACAGAAATCACTGGCCAATGGCAGTTGTCCAGAAAACGTTCCAGAGTGACGATTCCTTAGTCAGAAAGATTCAAATCAAATTGCTTAGACATGACAGATCAGTTATTCTTATCAGACCAATTTGTCAGGTTATTCCATTATTAACAGTGTGAAATTAATAGCTTATTTCAAGTATGTAACAGTACAGAATGTACAATTTTTTATGTTTGAATGTATGGTTCTCGGCAGTTACACTTTTTCATTCATGTAGACGATTTGTAGACGTCATTATTCAGTAGTTGTGATATCTATAGATATCAGGCGGGGAGTGTGGTGTCATTTGTTTTGATTTATCTGTTTTTTTCACGAGTATCTTAGGTACGAGTTAATGTGAAGGGGTTTTTGTGGAACTCTTTTGTCTTTCATGCACGCTTTTCGTTTTGGCGCCGACCTGTACGTTTATACCTTCTCTTCCTTTGGTTCCCCACGGTGTAAGTATCTAATATATCTTTTTATATAACTATGTTGTATATGATACTGTTGTATATGCAGTTCAATTCAATCCATTATTACCAAATATTTACATGTCATTTACTTTGTGATGAGTCGTTCGGAATTTATGCATGCATACATGTGACTTGTCAATGTGTGAACTTGATCCTGATTAACTCATTATGACAATTAATTGTACTATCGCTAAAGAAATTACACTTGAATGTTATCTAAATTAACATATTAGATTTACTCGATTACAAATTCTATGGTTTAACGCAAGTGTCATAATTATCTTTAATTCCGAGGAGTGTGTTCCTTTATGTTTTGTCATAAACTTTGTGAGATGAAATCTGTTAAATATTCTGGATATAATTTCCATTATTCTTTGAGATAGTATGTTTTTGTGATTTGATATTTCTTTGATTGTGAATTTATGATTGTTTGTTTTTTGTAGTGTTTTACCGCATTTCATCATCTGAAATAAAGGGGTTATCTATCTGCAAAGAATCCATCGTCTTTTTCTATGGCAGAATATATAGTAATCAGGATGTTCATCCGTCTGTACTTCCGTCTGTTACGCTTTGGGGTACCCATCGCCTATCCGCAACTACTTTCATACCACTAAATGAAATGTGGTAAGACTTTCACATAATTTTGCACCTCCTATTTTACATTTTGTTCCGACACATATTTTTGGTCTGACATAGCAAAGCATGGACACTGCCATTATATTCATATGGGAGGCGGGGGTATATCATTCAGTGAGCTCATTAATCACAGTACCTCTAGTTTAATTTGTTTCGCTATATACATGCATTGCTCTATCTATAAGCAAAAAATTACTTTCATGCAGATGATAAAATTCTTTTTAAAATTGTTTGAAGCGCATTTGTTGTTTTAGTAAGCGGTCATCTGACGGTCTAATAAATGTTTTTGTTAGAACTGAACATATACTCCTATTTAAAGCTGATTGATTATACATATTAATTTCTTGATTCTGAAATACTAGTAATATTACCAATTGATCTGAGCTAAATAATAATTCTTTTCAAATCCTTAATGAAAATTGATAACTTGTAAACAATTTTTTGATATGCTGAAGATTTGAAAAATTGACTTGGCTTGAAAAATATTTTTAAGGTACAGTGTACAACAGAATTTTTGGTCTAAGTGCTAACTGTGCTAAATTTCTAAGAAAACATAATATTACAAATACGAGAATGCTGTCCCCCCCCCCTTTTTTTTGAAATCAGAAAACAAACCTTATTTCTGTAACTTTAAATTGTTTCTAGGGACGTTTTTCTCTAGTTAACGTGACACAAGAAAATGAATGAGTCTAGGATAGAAGAATTAGATAAAAGACAAAAACGATTTGGTATAAATATACTGTATCCTGTAATTGCTTAGATATTTTAAAACATTATCAGCCAACGTAATCAAAGAATGTTTGACAACAAATAAACCTAAAAATTAACAGAACAACCACTGTATACAATAACAATAAAGACGGTCAGACAACCGCATTGAATATTAGCTAGATCAGATTTTTATTGCACGGGGTATTCATATTATAAAATTTATTTATTATTTATATTTCAGTCTATTTTGTTCAGGGAAGAAATTATTTGCCGAATACAGCACGGGGATGTTTTTAAACCGCAACTTTAATATATTGTTACTTAAAATATCTATCAGATGAATTTATGAAGAAAATCAAATTTATTTGATTTATTGATACATTTTAACTTTAAACATGTACAAATGTACCACAGGTTTTTGCTGAAACAGCTGATAACTTCCTTTTCAAATATAAATGTTTTCACAAATCGTCTATGCTAATTTTACACCAGGAAAAAAATAAATTTTCTGGAAATACTACTACTAATTTCAATTGCACCTTCTAATTAACATACAGCATCACAACAGATGCAAACTGAAAAATGCAGACCTGTATCAGTTAGTACCAACATGCAGCTTTTATTAATTGACATTCCATAGTTTCTTAAACTATTCTTTAACATTCTATGCTTTGTTGTTATCAAAATGATATATTGTAAAATGTGAGTCTATCATTATGCTGGGGTGATTTGAAATGAATCGAATGTCTTTTATTAGTTAAATGCTTTCTCTTGCGGATGTTTATTGCAATAAAATGAAAATGGGTGTAATTTTCTCGACATGTGAGCATAGATATATCTTTTTTGATTTTAATCTTAAGTTTGTAAATGATTAATTTTTTGACTGCTTCTCATGTAATCGTTCCTCCTCCAAAGCACCTGATCCCTCTTTTGATGTTTTGTAGGTGTTTGCTCTGATCCATTTTGTAGTGTCTTATGCACTTTTGATCTTCAATACGGTTCGTTATCTCCAAATATTTCATTACATAATTGAATACCGAATGCCAATAACAATCGGCATGTTTTCATTTCAGCAGGTTTTGTTTTAGAAGGAATTCCCCTTAACGCATCTAAAAATTTTATGCATACCCGCAGATTGGCTTTTAAAATCACCTTGCGGTGGTTGAAAGAGTTATATATTGTCGTCTGGATTACGCATTGATTAGAGTGGCATTTGTTCTTCGAAATACATGTAGTAGAGGCAAAAGTCGCGAGAAGACATCTTCCTTGGATTAGACCGAGGTCAGGTATAACGCCACACTCACTACGACTATCCCTGAGTATTAAGTATTATAAGGTTTAAAGTCTACAGTCCTCTATTGTGATGACGTCTCAAATTAAAATGATAGACAAATCCTTCGTTTTCTTTAAATAATAGATGTTAAACGAAGAGACTGATTTCTATAATGTGATAAAATGCTTTTATTTTATGCTCGTAAAGGGTATCTACCAACCTTCACAGAAAGACGCGAAGAACATGGGAAAAAGGACACAATGTGTTAATGATTTTGAAAGTACTCTTTAAATAAATGTATGAATTTTAAAAATTGCAATTTATATAGATCTTCAATCAACTATTTAACAAGAAAGTGTATTTATATGAAGGCCAATTCTTGTTTTCACTAAACAATTAATATTTCAATCTCTTCTTCTAGTTGTTATTTTTTTCCCTTGAGAGTTTTGTAAGCGCTGCATCCAGAACCTAGTGACAATCTATATAAAATAATACTTAGATATGATATTTCTGGATGTTTAAATGAGAATTATGTAAAACCCTTTTTTCCTTGTCAAGTTATACATGTATGTGCACGACCCAAATGAAAAGGCGGATATATAAAAGCTAATTTTGAAGAATTGTATTTTTGAGGAAGCAGTTGAAATAATACTATTTAGGTCTGAAAGGGAAATTTATTAGCTATCTCCTCATTGGATTCACATAGAAAAACGCTTAACCCATTAAAATAATCCATTCCAAAATTTTAATTAGATTAAGTAAAGCATCATTATTATGATTAAAATAACTAGAAACACTTAGAATTGTTAAACCTTAAACCGTGTTTCCCCGTGCATCAATGTGGTCCCCCACTCTGCTCAGTTCAAAATATAAAAGTACTTTGAAAAATGTTCCATCGTATGCTAAGCATCCCCCAGGGATATAGTTGGGCCATGAGAGGGTATCAAAGTTTTACATTGGTCGACAGCAGCAAATGAAATTTTGAAACATTTTTTTCAAGAACTACAGACAAGAGCAAAGAAAATTCATTTGTGAAAGCTTTATTACTTTGTGTTGAATGAAAATTGCTTGGACAAATCATTACTCCTACCATTGAAAACAATTTATATTAGACTGTCATGAAGATTGATCTAAGATTCAAATTAATTAAAATATCATTTCAAATCATTTCATCCTTTACCACTGAATAAAATTTAATAATACATTCACAGATTCTTTTTAGTACGTAGTATCAATATATCCTCCAATTTTACTTTCTTGTGCTGATTCTTATTCGGGGGCTTCGGTGGCAAAACATGGACTTTGCTTTTGAATACATATGGGAGTTGGGGTATCATTTTGTGAGCTCAGTGCTCACAGTAACCCTAGTATGGTTTTATTGACAATGTTTTCATTGTAACTAAAATAGATACAATAAATTCTTGTTATTTCAAAATAGATTGGAGATTTGAGATAGCTGTTGGTTTGAAATAATCTTGAAATTATTTTTGACCATCATTTGACCCCTGAGTGTGTGTGTTAAATTATATCTACATGACACCACCAACCATCTCTTA